CTCGTGCTATAGAAAATTGCATTATAGAAAATCACCATCGAAAATCACGGTGTAGGGAAATCGCTACAGAAAATCACTATATTTGAACAGCAGAAAGTTGGTGTGATACAAATGGCGTCCACTATTCATCAAGTGCGTTACAGCCAATTCACATTAACGAAACACGCAATACAGCAGAACTACCTGTACTCCAAATGTAGTCTAACCAAAGTCTTATAAAGCTGCAACATGACATCCTGACTCTTGTACTCAATTCCCTGGCCAATAAGGTCAAGCATATCATAAACCTTCTTTACCACCCTATCTACTCACGTGGCCACTTTCAGGGAGCTATGGACTTGAACCCCAAGATCCCCCTGTACCTCAGTGCTGTTCAGGGTCTTGCCATTAACCGTGTACTTTTCCCTAACATTTGATCTTCCAAAGTGCAGCAACTCACACTTACCCAGATTAAACTCCATCTGCCATTTCTCTGCCCGTATCTATAACTGATCTATATCCCGCTGTATCCTTTGACAACCTTCTACACTATCTTTGTATCGTCTGCAAACTTACTAACCCACCCATCTACATTTACATCGAAGTCATTTTCTCTCTTGCCTCTCGCAACAACCTGGGTTAGATACCATCGGGCCCTGGGGATTTATCCACCTTAATGTTCTTCAAGAGACCCAACATCACTTCTTTCTTCATCCCAAAATATCCTAGCATATTAGCATGCTCCACACTAATCTCACTATCCTCTGCATCTGTCTCCTAGGTTAATACCGATGCAAAGTACTCATTTAGGATCTCACCCACATCCTCTGCCTCCAAGCACAAGTCCTCTCCCTTATCTTTGAGTGGCCCTGCCTTAGGATTCTCTTTAAGCCGACTTGCCAAGGTCATTTCATAGCCCTTTCTTGCTCTCCTAATTCCCTGCTTCAGTTCTTTCCTGCTTTCCTTATATTCCTCATGGGCCCTGTCTGATTTTAGCTTCCTAAACCTTACGCATCTTTCTTTTTCCTTTTTGACGAAATTCACAACCTCCCTCGTCATCCAAGGTCCCTTACCTGGCCATCCTTGTCCTTCCCCCTTACTGGAACATGCCGGTCCTGAACTCTCCCTAGCAGGTTTTTAAGCAATTCCCACATGTCAAATGTGGACTTGCCTGATAACAGCTCCTCCCAATTAACACTCCCTAGCTTCTGCCTAATTATAGAACATAGAACAGTACAGCACAGTACAGGCCCTTTGGCCCACGATGTTGTGCCAAACTTTTACCCTAAACCTAAGGTCTATCCAACCTGCACCCCTACCTTATACTATCATCCATATGCCTATCTAATAGCCGCTTTATTGCCCCTAACGAGACCGAATCCACGACCCTCTCCGGCAATTCATTCCACGCCCCGACCACTCTCTGAGTAAAGAACCTGCCTCTGACGTCTCCCCTATATCTACCTTCACTCACTTTAAAACTATGCCCCCTCATAATAGCTACCTCCACCCTAGGAAAAAGTCTCTGGCTGTCCACCCTATCTATACCTCTGATCATTTTGTACACCTCTATCAAGTCACCTCTCATCCTTCGTCGTTCTAAAGAGAAAAGCCCTAGCTCTCTCAACCTTTCCTCATAAGACCTTCCCTCCATTCCAGGCAACATCCTGGTAAATCTCCTCTGCACCTTTTCTAACGCTTCCACATCTTTCCTGTAGTGAGGCGACCAGAACTAGACACAATACTCCAGATGTGGCCGAACCAGGCTTTTGTAGAGCTGGAGCATAACTTCACGGCTCTTGAACTCAATCCCCCTATTAATGAAAGCTAACACACCATACGGCTTCTTAACAACTCTATCCATCTGGGTGGCAGCTTTCAGGGAAAATACTGATGCATTTTAAGACGTGCAGCACCTCCTCCTCTGTAATATGGACTTTTCAAGACGTCGCTATTTATTTCCTCAAGTTCTCTTGCTTCTCTATTCTTCTCTACAATAAATGCTGATGCAAAGTATTTGTTTAGTATCTCACCCATCTCCCTCGGTTCCACACATAAGCAGCCTTGCTAATTGTTAAGAGACTCTATTCTGTCCCTAGTTACTCTTTTGTCTTTAATGTATTTGTAGAGACTCTTTGGGTTCTACTTAACGCTATTGGCCAAAGCTATCTCATGTCCCCTTTTTACTTCCTGATTTCCCTCGTGAGTACACTCCTATTGCCCTTATACTTATTGTTCTCTGGCCACAGGGGAAGTGCCAGAGGAGTGGAGGACGGCTAATGTGGTTCCACTTTCAAGAAGGGTGATAGAGATGAACCAGGAAATTACAGACCGGTGAGTCTCATGTCAGTGGTAGGGAAATTATTGGAGAAAATTCTGAAGGAGGAAATTAATATCCACTTGGAAAGTCATGGGTCAATTAGGGATAGTCAGCACGGTTTTGTCAGAGTGAGGTCGTGCCTAACAAATTTGTTAGAACTTTTAGAAAATGGGACCAAGCATGTGGATGAGGGAATGTGCAGTTGATGTAGTTTATATAGATTTTAGCAAAGCTTTTAATGAGGTCCCACATGGGAGACTGATTGAGAAGGTTAAAACGCATGGAATTAAGGGAAACTTGGAGAGATGGATCAGAAACTGGCTCAGTAATAGGACACAAAGGGCAGTGGGAGAAGGCTGTTTGAGTGACTGGAGGCCGGTGTCCCGCGGTGTACCACAAGGATCAGTACTGGGACCCTTATTGTTTGTTATATACGTGAACGATACAGATGAAAATGTAGGGGGAATGTTAAGAAAATACGCAGACGACACCAAAGTGAAGATATAGATGTGTTGGTCAGATGGGAAGACCAGTGGCAGATGGTATTTAACCTTGATAAGTTTGAGGTGATGCACTTTGGAAAAAGAAACAAGACAAGGTAGTATTTAATGAATGGCAGGACACTGAGTAGCTGAGAGGAACAGAGGGATCTTGGAGTAATTATTCACAGATCCCTGAAGTCTGCAGAGCACATGAATAGGATTGTTAAGAAGGCATATGGGACACTTGCTTTCATCAGTTGTGGCAGACAGTATAAGAGCAAAGAGGTAGTGCTAATGTTGTACAGAGTGTTGGTTAGGCCACAGCTGGAGTACTGTGTCCAGTTCTGGTCACCTCACTACAGGAAGGATGCGATAGCACCAGATGTGGTACAGAGGAGGTTCACCAGAATGTTGACTGGGCTGGAGAAATTGAGCTTTAAGGAGAGACTAGATAGGATTGGGCTGTTTTCGTTAGAGCAGGGAAGACCGAGAGGGAACATGATTGAGCTTTGTAAGAGGTGTATAAGAGGTGTATTATGTGGGACATGGACAGAGTGAATAGAGAGCAGCTGTTCCCCTTGGTTGAAGGTTCAATCACTTTGGGGCATAGTTTTAGGGTAAGAGGAAGGTGGTTCAGAGGGGATTTCGGGAAAAAAAAATTCACACAGTGGTTGTTGGTGGGAATCTGGAATGTCCTGACTGGAAAGGTAGTGGAGCATGGAAACATGCAACATTTAAAAAATATTTGGGTGAGCACTTCAACTATTACAACTTTTAAGGATATGGGGAAAGTGCAGGAAATTGGGATTAGCCAATATTTAGTGGTAATTATGTTGGTACAAACTCGATGGGCCGAATGCCCTTTTCTACGCTGCATGAATCTATGAATCTGGAGAGAGAATCCAGAATGGAGGTTTCTCATTTTTAAAACTCAGGGATCTCCTGTTTAAAACAGAGATGAGGTGAATCCTGTTTCTCGGAAGCTCATGAGTCTTTAGACCCCTCTTTCAGAAAAGTTGGTGGAAGCAGAGACCTTGAATATGATTGAGGCAGAGGTAGATGGATTCTTGTTCAGCAAAGAGGCTGAAAGGTTATCAGGAAATGGTGGGAATGTGGGTTTGGGGTTACGACTGGGTCAGCCAGGATCTTATTGAATGGTGCAACAGCCTCAAGGGCTGAATGTCCTCCTCCTGCTCCTGGTTCAGATGTTCAAGAGTGGCAGAGATGAAGTAGTGAGAGCATATGGGTTAGCGCAGACAGAGTTTGAGTATCAAAGCAACGAGCATGGAGGAGCCCTGACACTGGGACTTCAGGGATTAAGGGGCCAATGGTTGTGAGTCACTGCTGGTTTGCGTAGTCATGTACCCCTGAGCTAGTCTCAAAGTTTACTTTATTACTGAGTAGTCAGGTGACTTGTGAATTGTTAACTGGACAGTCCCTGACTGAGTTTACCCCAGAGAGTTGTGGAGGCTAGATCAATGAAGGTATTTAAAGAGGAGTTGAGGACTTATGAGGAGCTGACATAAATGAGGAGGCAAGGTGTGGGGCCAGGTCAGTCAGGGTCTTGGGGAATTGATGCTGATTTGCCGTTCGTAGGCATGGGGCATGGGGATGGCCTGGGGAGTGGGCGAGAAGAAAGTGATGGAATTTGAAGCATGAAGGATGAGAGCTAGAGATTTTAAAATGTACCAAAACAAATGGGACAAGCTCCTCTATTGTCACCTTCTATCTGACCCCAGCCCTTAGTCCCAATGCCCCCTCGAGTTGGAGTGAACATCAGCCATTTTAAAGACTTTCTACAAAGGTGAGTGCAGGTAATTGGGAGGTTTCCTACCTTGAGATAGCCTTATGGGTTGCACGAGACCAGGACAAACACTCAAGCACAGTTTCCAACGTTTTGCAGTACTTGGAATTTTATGGTGAAAACCTACCACACGGTGCACGGCCTATTCCATTACATTCTTGTTGAAGGCAATTGTCAAATATTCTAGGATGGGAAGGGTTGAGATTTGGATTTTCCTGGACTCATTATCGTGGTGGAGTCTACTCCTGTGGAAAGTGCAGCAGCAGTTACTGGAACAAAAGCTTTCTGAGGCTCAGGCTGTGGATTCTGTAAGGGATAGCTACCATGAAGTTAATCCTTGTCAGATTCTCAAATTCCGAGCTCATTAGCACAGCAGCATCATTGCACATTTACACAGGATCTTTGTTACTTTCCACAGCTACATCGCCTCGGACAACAATAACAGGTTTCAAAAGTACCACAGGTAAGAAATCTCTTCTCTAACAGCAGCAAAAGATGTTTGTATCGATCCACAAACAAAAATGAAACGTGGTAAATGGGTTCACAGAAACAAATAGAAAAACTAGTCCTACAGCCAATCACACAAAGTGATCAGACGATCAAAGTTCAGTCAGAGAGTTTATCTGAAAGGACAGTGTCCAGGGATCTGTTACTGATCCCTCAATACCCAGACCTGGATCACTGATCCCAAGATCTGTTCCTGATTCTTCCACACCCAGCCTTACTCACTAATCCTGGGATTGGTTCCCAATCCCTCTACACCCAGCCTATGCACTGATTCAGGATCTGTTCCTGATCATTCCACAACCAGACTTATTGATCCTGGGGTCTGTTTCTGATCCCTCCACACCCAGCCTTACTCAGTGATCCTGGGATCATTTCCTGATCCCTCCACACCCTGGCCTACTCACTGATACTGGGATCTATTCCTGATCCCTCCACACCCAACTTTACTCTCTGATACTGGGACCTGTTCCTGATCCCTCCACACCATAACTTTACTCTATGATCCTGGGATCTGTTCATGATCCCTCCACACCCAACTTTACTCTCTGATCCTGGGATCATTTCCTGATCCCTCCACACCCTGGCTTACTCACTGATACTGGGATCTGTTCCTGATCCCTCCATACTCAGGCTGGATCACTGATCCATGATCTGTTCCTGATCTATCCACACCCTGTCTGACACTCTCATCCCAGGATCTGTCTCTGATCCCTCCACACACAACCTGGGATCACTGATCAGGGGATCTGTTCCTAATCCCTCCCACCCAGCCTTACTGACTGACCTTAGGACCTGTTCTTGATCCCTCCACACTCAGACCTGGGATCTATTCCTGATCCCTCCATACCCAGACCTGGATCACTAATCCCAGGATCTGTTCCTGATCCCTCTGCACCCGGCCTTACTCACTGATCCTGGGATCTGTTCCTGATCCCTCAACACCCAGACATGGATCGTTTCTCTAAATGGCCTGGCATTGTGCAGACACTGGAAATTGTATATAATGAGCGAGAATACTGGAAATGTTTTCCCGGTTGTGAATGCCCGTGTGAGGAGGTGAACAGAGTGTATGAGCTACCTGCGGTCTGTCCCAATGTCAGTGGGAGACCTGTCAGCTCCAATCCCCTCATGTTCAGCTTTATCTCCCTCTTTGGTCTTTCTATACCACAACCAAAGCTGATACTTCATTGCAATCTGAGGGAATGCAGCATGTCAGCTCTCTGACTGTGGGTTAGCTTGTTAATTCAGATGTAGATCAAATCGTTGTACAAAGCGAATGGTTGTACGAAGTGTAATCAGGGTGATAGTGTGCATTAACAGGATGGAGTGTTGGACAGGATTGAGATGTAGATGTTGTACTAGGTAGCAATCTCCTGAACTGCAGTCTGTGAAAGAAACAGAGATGCACTGTGTCTATGGTGAGGGGGACAGATCAACATGGGATGAGGAGTCTCTTCCTCTGTGCTCAGCAGGAGCTCTGTCTACTCTCAGCAGCTCAATTACAAACTGAGCTGGTACCTGGGCTGCCCAGCTCTACTCTGACCAGACCTTGTGCTTCTGTCTCCCTAGAAGAGCCTGATTCAAACATTGTATGGACAGGAATCGTGGTGCCAATTTTAACTACAGCTGTCATGACTTACACACTCTCCAAACTGCTCCTACGGAAGGGGATTGTCTGCCGGAAACCACCCGGGTCATCGGCTGCTGCTCAGTTGACCTGTACCAGGTAAAGATCACCAGATATTCACAGCACCACACAATTATTACAGTGCAGAAAGAGACCACTGTACCTGTATCGGCTCCTTAAACAGATGTCATTACCCAGTGCCAATCTCCTGCCTTTTCCCCGATATTCCTGAATGCCATCACTATCCATGTTATCATCCAACATCCTCCAGAATGCCTCAGTTGTATCTACCTCCACCATCCTTCTATATTAGTGCATTCTACCCCCAAACTACTTGCTGAATGAAAGGCTCAATGTCACCTTCTTGCTCTTGTACTCTATGCCTCTGTTAATCACGTTAAGGACAGTATTAACCGCTCTCTCCAACTGTCCTGCCACCTTCAATGATTTCTGCACAGAGGCACCCAGCTCCCTTTACTCATGCACCCCCTTTAGAATTGTACCCCATCCCCATTTTACATTATCTTTCAATGTTCTTCTGACCAAAGTGCTTCACCTCACAATTCACCTCATAGGGGAGGCAATGGCCTCATGGTAATATCACCGGACTGTTAATCCAGAGACCTGGATAACATTCTGGGGACCCGCGTTCAAATCCTGCTACGGCAGATGGTGGAATTTGAATTCAATAAAAATATCTGGAATTAAGAATCTGCTGATGACCATGAACCCATTGCCAATTGTTGGGAAAAGCCCATCTGGTTCACTAATGTCCTTTAGGGAAGTAAACTGCCATCCTTACCTGGTTTGGCCTACATGTGACTCCAGACCCACAGCAATGTGGTTGACTCTCAACTGCCCTCTGGGTGATTAGGGATGGGCAATAAATGCTGCCTGGTCAGTGATGTCCTCATCCTGTGAATGAATAAAACAATTTATAAAAAGAATTCTCTGCATTGAACCTCATCTGCCATGTATACCCGAATCCAACAACTTGTCAATATCCTTTTGGAGTTCCACACTGTCTTCCTCACAGTTTACAATTCTTCCAAGTTTTTCTCATCTGCAAATATTAACATTGTCCTCTGCACATCAAGACCTGGATTATAATATGTATCAGCAAGGTTCCCAAGTCCAACTCCTGGGGAACTCGACTACAAACCTTCCTCCGGCCTGAAAAATATCCATTGACCATTACTCTATGTTTTCTACCAGTCAGCCAATTTTAATCTGCTTTGCTTGTGTCCCTTTTATAGCCTGATTTAGAATGCTCCTCAGGAATCTGTTGTTGGTATTACAAAAGAACAATGAAGCACAGGAACAGGCCCTCCAGCCCTCCAAGACTGCACCAACACATTTTGCCCTTCCATACTAAAACTGTCTTAGCTTACAGGATCCACATCCCTCTATTCCCTTCCTCTTCATGTTTCGTTCAGATGACATTCGTCCAGGCGTGGCACTGTATCAAACTCCTTCTCAAAATACATGTGCATCACATCAACAGCGTTACCCTCATTGCACCTTACCATGACCTCTTCAAAAACCAATAGGTCACTTGGGGTGCCTGAAACACACGTCTTTCCCTTCTGAGGCATACACCCACCTGGGAGAAACATCTGAGCACAATGTCCAAGTTCTCTAAGTGCTCTTTATTGGTCTTCCTTGTTACTAGCATGTCATCCAGATAAATGGCAGCCTCAGGTAGCCCTTGTAAAATGTTCTCGATCATCCACTGGAAAATTACACAGGCTGACAATGCCCCAAATGGCAGTCTTGTATATTGGTACAAACCCTTATGGGTAGTAATTGTGGCGTACTTCTGGGTAACATCATCTAACTGCAATTTGCAGGTACGCATAGCTCATGCCCAGCTTTGTGAAGGATAGCTCCCCTGCCAGTTTTGTGTACAAGCCCTCCACGTGACGCAAGGCAAACCAACCCATCAGGCTTCACAATCGGGTTGACCGGTGCAGCCAAATCTGAAAATTGCACTGGTTTGATGATTCATTCACTTTCCAGCTTTCTCATTTCTGCCTCTACTTTCACATGTAAGGCAATGGCACTGGGTGGTCCTTGCAGAATCGTGGAATTGCTTCCTGGTCAACCTGCAAGGAGGTCTTGATTCCTTCAATAGTCCCTAGACCTTCCTGAAAAACCTCTGGGTATTTAATTAGGACTTCACTCAGGCAGCCACTTTCTAATCAAAAAATGTTGAGCCAATCAAGGCGAATCGTTCTCAACCAATTCCGCCCCATCAAGCTTTGGCCTGAACCTTTTACTATAATCTGTGGTAACTGAACCAGCTGCTTCTGGTAAGAGACTGCAACTGAATGTTATCCCCTTAATCTGTGAAGTTTCCCTGGTACAGGTTCTCAGTCTAGCCAAGGTCCTACACAAACTTAAGGGTTGGAGTCCAGAGTGAATTTTGTTAAAGATGGTTCTGCGCTCACTGATAAACCCACACCAGTTTTGACCTCCATTAGAACCAGGTGACCATTTAACCAGAGATAGTAGGAACTGCCGATGCTGGAGTCTGAGATAACAAGGTGTAGAGCTGGAGGAACACAGCAGGCCAAGCAGCATCAGGAAAGCTGACGTTTTGGGTCTGGACCCTTCTTCAAAAATCCATTTAACCAGATGTTTCTTATGATTGGCTCTGATTTGGATGTTGCGAAGCAATTTAGTATTCCAAACCACCTGTAGGTGGACTTTCCAGCGTGTGCACTCTCCTAAATACTGGCTAATTAGTTCTCTTACTCTATTGACAAGGAGGAGCCAGTCAATATAATACATTTGGAATTTCAGAAAATGTTTGACAAAATCCCACAGAAGAGATTAATGTGCAAGATTAAAGTGCATGGTACTGGGGGAAGTGTATTGAGATGGATAGGAAACTGGTTGGCAGAGAGAAAACAAAGAGTAGGAATTGGGTAGGCAACGGCCTGGTGGTATTATCATTAGACTATTAATCCAGAAACCCATCAAATGTTTTGGGGATCCACGTTCAAATCCCATCACAGCAGATAGTGGAATTTGAATTCAGTAATTAGCAAAAAAAAGTCTGGAATTAAGAATCTACTGATCACTGTGAAATCATTGCCGACTGTCAGAAAAACCCATCTGGTTCACTAATGTCCTTCAGGGAAGGAAATCTGCCACCCTCACCTGGTCTACGTGTGACTCCAGACCCACATCAATGTGGTTGACTCTCAACAGCCCTCAGAAATGGCCTCTGAAAGTCATTCAGTTCTACCAATCGCTAAAAAGTCTGACAGAAATAAAACTGGTTGGACCACCTGGCATCGACCAAGGCACCAGAAAAGACAATGGCAGAAACAGCCCTGTCAACCCTGCAAAGTCCTCCACACTAACATCTGGGGGCCAGTGCCAAAATTGGGAGAGCTGTCTCACAGACGAGTTAAGCAACAGCCTGATATAGTCATACTCACAGACAATGTCCCAGACACTGCTATCACCATCTCTGGATATGTCCTGTTCCACCAGCAGGACAGACCCAGCAGAGCGGGTGGCACAGTGGGATACAGTCGGAAAGGAGTTGCTCTGGGAGTCCTCAGCATTGACTTCGGACCCCATGAAGTCTCATGGCTTCAGGTTAAACATGGGCAAGGAAACCTCCTGCTGATTACCACACACTGTCCTCCCTCAGCTGATGAATCAGTTCTCTTCAGTGTTGAACAACACTTGGAGGAAGCACTGAGGATGGCAGGGGCACAAAATGTACTCTGGGTGGGGGATTTCAATGTCCACCACCAAGAGTGGCTCGGTAGCAGTACTACTGATCAAGCTGGTCGGGTCCTAAAGGACATAGCTGCGAGACTGGATCTGCGGCAGGTGGTGAGGGAACCAACAAGAGGGTAAAACATACTTAACCCCATCCTTACCAATCGAGCAGCTGCAGATGTATCTGTCCATGTCAGTATCGGTAAAAGTGACCATCACACAGTCCTTGTGGAGACAAAGTCCCACCTTCACATTGAGATCAACTTCCATCGTGTTGTGTGGCACTGTCACCGTGTTAAATGGGACAGACTTGGCACAGATCTAGCAACTCAAGACTGGGCATCCACGAGGTGCTGTGGGCCATTAACAGCAGCAGAATTGTACTCCAGCACAATCTGTAGCCCCATGGCCCGGCATATCCCCCACTCAACCATTACCATCAAGCCAGGGGATCAACCCTGGTTCAATGGAGAGTGCAGGAGGGCATGCCAGGAGCAGCACCAGGCATACCTGAAGATGAGGTGTCAACCTGGTGAAGCCACCAAACAGGACAACCTGCACACCAAACAGAGGAAGCAGCAAGTGATAGACAGAGCTAAGTGATCCCACAACCAACGGATCAGATCTAAGCTCTGTAGTCCTGCCACATCCAGTCGTGAATGGTGGTGGATACTTAAACAACTCACTGGAGGAGGAGGCTCCACAAACATCCCCATCCTCAATGATGGAAGAGCCCAGCACATCAGTGCAAAAGATAAGGCTGAAGCATTCGCAGCAATCTTCAGCCAGAAGTGTTGAGTGGATGATCCATTTCGGCCTCCTCCAGTGGTCCCCAGCATCACAGATACCAGTCTTCAGCCAAATCGATTCACTCCACGTGATATCAAGAAACGGTCGGAGACACTGGATACTGCAAAGGCTACCGGCCCTGACAACATTCCGGCAATAGTACTGAAGACTTGTGCTCCAGAACCTGCCGCTCCCCTAACCTATCTGTTCCCGTACAGTTACAACACTGGTATCTACCCGACAATGTGGAAAATTGCCCAAGTATGTCCTGTACACAAAAAGCAGGACAAATCCAACCCGGCCAATTCCCGCCCCATCAGTCTCCTCTCGATCATCAGTAAAGTGATGGAAGGTGTCACTAACAGTGCTATCAAGCAGTACCTACTCAGAAATAACCTGCTCAGTGACGCCCAGTTTGGGTTCCACCAGGGCCACTCAGCTCCTGACCTTATTATAGCCTTGGTTCAACCATGGACAAAAGAGCTGAATTCCAGAGGTGAGGTGAGAGTGACAGCCCTTGATATCAAGGTTGCATTCAACTGAATGTGGCATCAAGGAGCCCGAGCAAA